AACGAGAGGAAAAGAATAAAAAACCAAAAGAAAATTTCGTTTCTGGTACGGAAAACAAAGGGACAGGGAATTAAAAACAGCTAGTTTGATAACTTTCTGATTAAAAAAAGTGGAGAGAAAAAACAACAGACGATGACGGGTTAACGAAAGGTTAAAAAGACGATGCGGATCGGAAGAGCAACAGTGATACACCACTGCTTTTTGCCTTCAGTTTTTGGTCATTTCTTTTTTTTTTTTTTCGTTTTCGACTGCTTAATAGCCTAGTCTAAAAGTTCTCCTTCAGTAAGCTGTTGGCTAAAAGTTTTGATACTGATGCTCATCTTCTCCAAATAGTCAACAGCAGAAGCAAAAAAAAATTGAACTCACTATTTCAGCGTTCAATCCCAGTTGAAAAAAAAACTGAAAACGTCTAAATGAACGAATAAATGAATAAAACTGAACGAAATCCGTATAATATTTACGTGCAAAAGTAGTTTTATAACAATAAATTTTAATTTCTCACTCCACTATGGTAAACTCTTTTTGTAGCTTAAAAAAAAAGAACCTTTTTTGGGTTTCTTACGTTTTGAGAAAGGTCATAAATGAGTTTGTTGTCAGCATCATTGCCATTTTGGTGATTGCTGGTTTTTTTTTTCAGTTTCTTCAGTGGAAAATTAAAGTAACGATAGGAAAAAAAAAAAGGATGATAAAAAGCCACAACAACAGCAGTTGATCAAAGCATAAAAGCAGCAATTTATTCTTCCTCGGTTTTTAAATATCCTTCCAATTTTTTTGCACAAATTAAGTTAGTCAAAAAAAAATTTTTTTTTTTGACCAGAAAAAAAATGCAAAAGATTTTTTCTCCTAATATATGTGTGTGTGAATGTGTGCGTGCACGAATTGTATGAACATGTTGAATATATACGGATAAGTAATGCACGTAAAATTAGACAAATGCCTGCCAAAGTTTTATTTCAGTGCTTCAAAGGCATAGTTTTGAAATTTTGAAAAAAAAATTAGCACAAAAAAGTGAAAAAAAATTCATGGTTTAAAAAATATGGATGACAGTTAATAGGCAAAAGAAAAACTTTTTTCCCCTACCCCCGTTTTATTGTAGTTTCATTACTCTACTTTTGTACTTTTTTTTTTTTTAGTCAACTACATCCACATCTGCAATAATATTAACAACAGATTATTGCTATCTCTCAAACAATATTTTCTAGCTACATTTTTTGTTCAAATTTTTTTTCAATCTTTTTTTTTTTTTTTTTTTTTTTTTTT